TTTCACTGCATAAATGGCCAAGATTGCTCAAATTTTCCAAAATTTTCGACATTTGTTTTTAATTTTTCAAAGAAAAATCTCTCATTCTCCCACCTCCAGAGAAATTTGTCATCCAAACTCTCCTGATCATATGCAACACAGAAAGAATTCAAAATTCGTCCAACCGGAGACCTCTACCCCTCCTTTCCCCCCACTCCAAAACTACTTTAGATTTTGCTCGATAAATGGTCAATCCTGGCTCCCAGGCCTTCCATGACTGCCTGCTGATATAGGAAACATAAAGGAAGCACTTTCTCCAATATGCGAACCCAAATGTTCTTCAGAGATTGTACAACTGCAGGGGAATGCATCGAGTTTCCCTAAAGTTTTGAAGATTCGTTTCCCTTTGTGACTGAGCTTTGACGTCTACTGGAGCGTAAACGACTCAGTAATTCAGTGACGAAGGAGGACCTGCGCGCGATATGTATCGCTTTTTGTGCGACTGTGAGATCAAGCGGACGCTAATTATCCCTTCTTCACAACATGGCTCTGACCGGTGATCCCAAAATTGCGCTGTCATTGTGCCGACGCCACGGTGCTGACCGGAACGACGACGAACACCGACGTTCAAACTGGAAAATCTTCAACGGCGACTTGTTCACGCTGCATATCACTAGAGCGATTCGCTAATTTGAGATGAAAGGGCGATGATAACCGTGAAAACATTGGAATCCACACTGGGTACTATAGGACTGTCCCACTCAAGGTTCCCATGTGGGAGTGGTTCATTGGATGGTTTCCAACACGGCGAAAGCAGTAGGAGGAACCCCTCGGAGTATAGTAGAACAAACATCCTTAGAGATAGGCAAACGTCACCATCCATTTGGTCATTAGATTGCATGATACTCTAAGCCAGAGAGCCTTTCCTAGCAATCATTAGCAATCACAATTATTTATTTGTTATTTATTTTAGCTATTGCTACAGAAATAAATCAGTGATAGCGCCACTGTCCGCCTACAGCTACTTCGTTGGTGGCTGACACTTCGAGATGTTCACGTGAGCTTGTAGACCACATAAAAAATAAGGGATAAGCGTTTGCGTGCGTCACTCGTGGGATGCGCCATACACCTCATTTGCGTTCAGATCGGTTCGGCGTGTGATTGCGATTTGGCCTGTGAATCGTCTAGCGGGGACCAGCTGTATACAGGTCAGCTTCGGTTTCCTGACTCGCAGACATATTAGATACAAAATGACCCTTCGAGGAGGAATGTAGTGCTAATTGGCTCGTTTGCGAGTCGTTTGGGAATTTGGTCCACGGACCAATGGTGGTGTTTTGGAAACGGTGGTCACTGCACCACTTCCGATCCTCTAAAAATCAAGTGCGCATTAAACCTTAATGACTCTGCGCAGAAGTAAGCCTATCCTGAAGGAGAAGGGATATGAACATTTATATGTTCACTGGAACTCGATGAAGGAGCAGTTTCTGGAAGAAGCAAGTAGGGTTAGACTGCGGAACGAACTCTTGTGAAATGTGCCTTCCTAGCACGTCCGCGGTAATTTTCGAACTTTTCGAAGAGTCTTCATCACTTGATTGACCTTCACACCCCGTGTTCACTATCACTAAGCTCTAATGGTACGATTACTATCTCGAATGAAGCTCACCTTGGTGCAATCCAAGGGTGCGATTGAGAAGAGCCACCTAATCGGAGTTCATTCCTTTCTACCTCGCATTCGAAATGTCCAATGACGATGTGATTCTCGTCCAGCTGACTTCTCAGACCGCAGTTGAATGAGGCATTGCATTCTGAAAAAGAAGCAACGAAGGATAGTAAAAATGAAGACCAAAGATGTATACCAGTATCTGGGACCACTGCAATAGTTTGTGGATCGGATGGCTAGATTTCGAATTCATTCACAAGCTGAGCCACAAACTGCGTTGTCAAGTTCTTCTCATATTATTAGTGAAGAGGACCGGCACCATTAGCGAGTGGAAAGGTACATGCCACCACCATCTGGGTAAAGTTACTGCCTTCGAAAATGAATGTATAGGCGTAAGGAAAACGCCATTTAAGAAAAAAGAAAATGATCTGGATGTTTCAGCGCTACGTCTATCCACGTCACAAGCCCCTGCGCTCTTTCCATGCGCTTTTGGACTTGGACTTGAGCGGTTACAGACGAACTGCCTTTACGGTTGCCGACGCAACTACCTTATTCACAGCATTGTTTATCAAAACTACTCAGGTTATGTCCTTTGAATGCACAATCCAGGTAGACAAATCGTTCAGTGAACGGATTGCTCTTTGTTTGCGACCATAAATTTCCCGCTTCTTGAAAATCCCCGACAGGACGTGTGCTCGGGCCTCTTAAAGGTAGCTTGCAGCAGCGCAGTGTTCCCGTCTACAGCAGGCTGACGATACTGGCCGCTCTCTTTGCTAGCTAGGCGCTTGAAAAGCACAAAAGTGGGAGTGACGAGTGCCACATTTGGATTTAAGAGAAAACAAATATAGACCCGCACGACAGGTGAAGCTATTAGAGCCTCACGTTAGTTCTTGGCGTTGCATATGAAATTTTCTCCAGCCCTCCTCTGGTTCTAGATCTCACCTTAACATAGAATTTGGATGCATCAACTTGGGCCATACCCTCTTTGTACTCTCCTCTCTGCCCACAATCTCTCAGTGCCTCAGCACAGCCGCATTACGAGGATGAGCAAACCCGTAACGTGATTGTTTTCAACAGATTCTATTTTTTCCCCAATTTCGCACCAATACTTCAAAATTCGTGCAAAAGAAAGAGCCACGGCAAGAACCACAACCAGCTCGGGGGAAATGCCCTTAAGCCAAAAAGGGCCACCAAAAATTGGCATAGTGATTTCAAATGAAAGCTAGTCGCGCAATTTTGCGTGTTACTCACTTGCTTTTGTATCTTTTCTACTGCATGTGACATATTTCCCAGATTATTGTAAACTCGGGCAAACTTTTGAACGACATGTTGAGCCAAAGAAGGAAATAGTGCTGACAGAGCGTGTAACGGATGAAATTCGGCGTCCATATCCTATTTCATTAATCCTCCCGTGAGTGGCTAAAGTGAGAAAAGTTGTCGAAACGGAAGGCTGGTGGGTGCAAAGTCATTGGGTCGCGCACCGGCTTACGGTCAGCCCTAACGTAGGACAAGAACGGGAAGGCTGCTAACGTGCGGCGGACTCCCTTTCCCCTCTCCCCCCTCCCCTAAGCTAAGCTCAAACTGAGCGGTAGTTTAATCCGATCCCCGAAACCAATATGTATACAGCTATGTGCATAGTTTTGCTCGGGCTGGCCGTTATACTAACTCAGTACTTAATGAGCACTCATTATAAGGTAGACGGAATTCTCTTCTTGAATAGTGAAGATCTTTTCAGCTCTTATTTGGGCTGTGAGGAAAGTTGTTTGAGAAAGCCTGACTCGTTCTCTTTTCTTTATTCAAGCGCTTTCAAACGGCGCAGTGGCCGCTCTCATTGTTGTGCTGTTGCATACTGAAAGAATCCGTGCCCTCTGACGTCGCGCACTACTCCACTAACGGAAACGGGCAGAAGGACTTTTGTACTGCTTAACTGAACTTGTACTACTGAAAATTGTCTATGAACCTCCGATTTCATAGAAATTATTGATATATCGTATATTGCTAGTGTGATCTAACTGGAACGAACCCTCATTAATCCAGCTGGCGATCCGTTTTCGTATCGTCGTATCATTGAATCGTAACGGACACTCCATCAACGATACAGTAATCCAATCAAGTGATTCCGTGGACGCCACCGTATCCCAACATCGTGAGCACTCACACTCGTACTCGGTCTCCTGAATGCGCAAAATCAAGTAACCTGAGTGAGAGCAGGATGATTCAAAATAGTGGACTTATTAAAAATGAGCCAGTGCTTGGAACCCTTCTCATGTAGAAATTTGGCAATAGGGGGCGATTTTCTTATCTGAGTTCTTCAAAGTTGGTGACGGAGGTTTTCTAAAATCGCCTCCTGGGAAAATCCTGGAAAGGCTTCGGAATCTCAAGGCTACTAAGAGTTTTCCCATTACCGATAAGGAGATATTGCCAGACAGACGTTCTGTCGATAGCCTATATTTTCGTCAATAATGTAGAAACCTTTCAACAACTTATGTTTCGGCACATTGGGACAGAATTTTCATAGTGGACTGGTGGCGATTATTGAACTGAGCCAGTGGCGGATGTGCGGCCAGCGGACAGAGTGCCGTACGTTCCCACGCTGCACGATCCGGGCGATCGAGTCGGCAGCATCCTAAGCTGTCTAGGTCGACTATGCCTCTCATCCCTCGGGAATTTGTTCATCGGTGCCAGCTCACCATAGAGTATAGAGACACTGCATTGCACAGCGGAAGGGCCCCACAAATCATTGCATATGTCAAATCGCATCGTAGAGCCCCTACGATCATTAAGAGAAGTAGATTCAGAGGCATGCTCGAAAACGAGGTTGTGTCACACCGGAAACTTACCTCTTACTGTCAGCTCCCCTTCAACAAGAGTTCTTTATGGATCTTCCAGTAGAGGAGCCAGGTAATTAGGCATTGCAAAGAGCATACGCCTTCGATATTTCCCCATTCGCTACGACCCTGGTCAGCACGACTGATGACCCCTTCAGGTTCTCCATGTCCTCAAACTACTACTCAAAATTCTACCTAAAAAGCCCAACCCTTTACCTAAATTCACGCCGACTAAGATAAGCATAATAGTGAGACACAATCTCCCTCTCCTTCGAAGAATTCCTGGAAGCCATAATGCGGTGATCTGTAAGGCTGCGTCAATGTCAAGCTCATAATATCCCTCTAAAGATCATTAGATTCAATAGGTAAAGCATGCAAGGACGTCTCAGCGCTGCTCCTAGATCTAATCAGCAGAAATACCGATATTTGAAGCGTAAGGTAGGCTCAAGCTTAGTTCTAGGTTTAGTACATAGTACATGAGTAAATCAGAGGTGCCCTTTCCTAGAGTAAGTTGATTTGTGGAGGGAGAATTTGGACACGTCCTGAGGTAAACATTGTTCCCTGAACTGGCAGGCGTCAAGAAAAAACCCGTTCGGACCCACTAACTCATCTTCTCATGTAGACGGGGAGGGAAGTCTCAGAGGGGCCCTGATGCGAATTTGATTCTTCATGAATACGCGGTTTGAAACGGGCAAGCATTAATGAACGATTAATTGGGTTATTCGTTTGATCCTGATGGAAACAAGCCACGGCTGCTGCGTCAGACATATAGCTCGGAATCTGTACGTGACGCCAGTTTTCTGTCGCGAGGTCCTTCAGCAGGCGAACTTATTCTGGCCAATGTTGCGACCGTCCCGTCATTTTAACAAGGCCACATCCTGCGGGAGACTAGTACAACTACTGAGTTTCAGGGAGACAAGGTTCTAAACCAGTGTGTATGCGAGCTGTTGACTCTCATGAACTGTAAGCCCAATCTTGAAGAGGCTCAGACTTCGTTCGTAAGAACCGAAGCAGTAAATTTCGCCATAAAAGCTGCCTCAGCCTCAGGTGTTCAGTTAACAAGCTCACAAAGGTTTGCGGAAGGCGAGAGTACCACTGCTGTAAAACTTTCTCAATGGAGTTATGTATGAAAACACGCTATAATCTTCTTCCAACGAAGCCATCCTGGGCGAATTATTTCTTTTTCTGAATACTCGAACTATCATTCAATTTGGTAAGGTTTCTGTCCTCAGAAAGCTTGATTCGCGAGCTGAATGAAGCACTCGGTGTTAATTTATCCCGTTTCCGGTGCGGCACACATTCTACTTCCATTCAAAACCGTAGTAGCATTTTTTATGCGATTTGGCTTGACAGCAAGTCAGCCAATATGAAAGTCAGTGTTTTTATCCTCCCAGACAAGTATGGCCCAAGAAACCGATTCTGGTAGGATGGAGGGCTTAGTTGGCCTGGATGAAGCACGACCCAGGATTTGGTTCTTGCGCTGCCATTTCCCTATTTCCATTCCACAATTCCCATGATGGATTCATTTTTAGAATCTCTATTTACCTACTCTTTTGCGTGCCCTTCTGCCTACACCACTACTCGAATATTTAACCCCTCGACTAAGTATGACGTCATCGCCCACCCAAGGAAGTGAGAGCGCCAGAGCGAGGATGCCGCCGCCGATCTCCGTCCAAGAAACACGACTTTACCGCCGATTTTATGACCAACTACAATCGGTTGTAAACGACTCGTGCGTCGTATATCGACCGGGTTGCCGCTTTTGTAAAAACCTGGCGTCCGGTGGCACTCGGTGCCTGTATATCGGTGCCATAACAATGACTACATAAAGATGTACGACAAGAGCCCATCTGTCGTCCACGAAGACCTTACTCGCAATGGGAACTGAGGCACTGTCCGCGCTGTTAGTTCTGGACCTGACGGGGTAGAGATGAGCGGCTAGAAGCTTTGATCTAGTGAGTTTGAGGTAAATTAAGGTGCGACACAGGGGGAGGGGAGGCTAAGTAAACCTGAGCAGGCGAAATGTTTGAGTACTTCTGCAAACATTACAGTATAAGTACTTTTTGGAGTACCACATCTACAGTCTGGGGATCGAGTTACACCAGGACCAGTTAGCCCTCTTTGTCTACATGCTCATCAAATTTGTTACAGGTTTCTTGTGACTGACAGAATGAAGTGAGTTGTTCGAATGGAGGCCGATTCGCTGGCCAATTGGTTATGCAGAGATCAATTAGGTAACTGGTAACACCTTTACCAGTTTGATTGTCAGGAGAGTGCGTGGCGCATACAGACAGAGGCGAATACTAGTTGTCAACCACTTTACCCCCCCCCTTCTCCTCCTCTATAGTCAGGCATTAGATAATGTCAACGGAGACTTACAAAGCGCTCGGCGGCCGCCTGACTCAACCAAACATGCATGTCGCAAAGCAGCCCCCGTAGCTTCCGTTGACCTCTGAGCTTTTTTCGCTTTCATGATTACCGCCGACGACGGAAGAGACTTACGGGGTAATGAAGATCTGCGACGCCAGCGATTAACCTCGGACCAAGGTAAAAGTCTTAGTATAAAAAGGGCATAGTCTGGGTATAAAAAAGGCAAAGGGACTGGGATTCCAGTATGCGCCATGCACTCAGTACCGCTAAAGGTTACAGAGGTATTCAGAACCGTATTGGGCCTATACAGCAAGCCTATACA